TATCCTTCCTGCTCCCACCTTCGACGCTCCCATGCCCAGCATTGAAGCACTGCTATCTGCACTCCAACGTGCTGAGCCAAGTGCCCCTGGGCACGACCGTCTCCCTTACTCAGCCTGGCTCCCCCACCCTCTCGCCAGCAGCACTCTGCATCGGGTCTTGAAGCACATTTACTCGGGCAACTTTTTACACTATGAGACCGAATTAACATTGTTTGGTTTCCTCCCTACGGGCGAGGACGAGCTGGACTCGACTCGGGCCCCTTGTCGGCGCCAGGATCTCCGCCCATTAAGTTCCAACAACAGTGATGTGCAAGCAATCAGCTCAGCGGTGAATTTCACTTTGAAGCCGCTGGTGGACCAGCGCGCACATGAGAGCCAACAAGGGTACATCACGGGCCGCAACGTTGTTGGCAACATACCCGCATTGGACGCGGAGGCCAGGAGAGCGGGATGGCTTGGGCATGGCTCATGCAAGCGCCCGCTTCTTCTCTCCTTCGATTTCACAGCCGCGTTCCCAAGCCTGAAAAGAAGATGGCTGGAACTCTCTCTTGCACACTACGGCGTGCCTCAAGGTGTGCTCTGGGCGATTGCTGCCCTCTATAATGCTCCTGCTGCGTTCGCACGGTTTGGTGACATGCCTCCCACGCCAATGCGCGAGCTTGCCAGTGGAGCGTTCCAGGGATGCCGCATGGACCCCCTGCTGCGCCACTGGCAACGTCCTTTCCCATCTCTCGATCGCGGAGTGGTGTGCGCGTGAGCTGATAACATCGGCCTCGTCGTGCTATGCGTCATTCAGCTTGACACGATCGCTGAATCGTTTTGCTTCGAGGAAAAGTTAGCCGGCCCAGAGTTGCAGCCAACGAAGTGCGCAGCGGCCCCTCTCTGGACCCCTCTGTATCCCGAGGTGCAGAGCCAAGCCCGGCGTGAACTTGAGGGGGTCTGTGGTAGGTGGGATGCGCTTCAGGTTTCTGATGTGGTGAAATGCTTAGGGGTTTGGCTCGGGGCAGGAGCTGCCGCTGAGTTGCAGTGGAAAGCCCCCTCGGGAAAGCGGTGGAAGCGCATTCATCTCGCCGGCAGCATTCGTGCTCCACCATCCGCCCTCACTCTTTTGCACGCCACTGCCATCCCCCCCACTCTTAGCTATGTCGCGCAGTTCTTGCCCATCCCGAGGCTTCTGAAAAGAGAGATTCACGCACTTCACAAGTTGCACAGACTCCCCGCCCAATGCCATGAAACGCTCGAATATTTCATCAGTGAAAGAGTGGTGCAGAGGAGGAGGGCCCACCGCCATCTCGTCTCTCGCTCTCTCTCTCTCTCTCTCTCTCACACTTCGCTGTGGCGGACGTGCACCACCATGTTGTTTGGACGAAGCGTGCACCTACGACGCCTTCAGGAGGCCGCCGATCGCTTCGCTCCGTTGCCGCGCTGTGTTGCGCAGATGTGGTCTCCAGAATGGCGGCAGGAGCCCTCGGCGATAGCGCAGCGGTTCGAGGATATATATATATATATATATATATATATATATATATATATATGTATGCTCGTGCAGGCCCATCAGTCTGCATCGCACATGCAAGATATCGTCTGCTGTCTCGCGCGCGGCTGTGCGCACGAGACGGAGGGAGGTGGAGCGGGTTGTGTCGGAGGGAACGGGATGTCCCAAGGTGCAGCGTTTCGTGTGCTCTTCTCTTACGCAGCAGGTGTATTCAGAGCAGCTCGTCGGCACGATGAGGAAGCGTTTGCGTAAATGGTACCCTGACCTCGCCTTCCCTCCTGATATCCTTGCCCGCTGGCTCCACCTCCGCTCCTTTCTCAACACATGCAAGCCTGCGATCAGGTGGTGTGTTCTAAAGACGTTGTGCGGAGCTTGGGCCAGCAGCAATCGTATGCATGTGATCCCTGGGTCCAAGATGTGCCCGCTAGGATGTCCTCACTGTCTCGACTGCGAACAGAATTATTTAGTTTGTGACAGATTCCTCGAGCTCGTAGCTGACCCACCAGAGGTATTAGTTCGATTGGGCCTTGGGGGTGTGGAGGGGCACGTGGGTCAGTTCACGCTGGCTCGAGTCGTCCGCTCTCTCGCCATCGCCGTCTACATAAATCACGCCATGAAGGGAGACATCGGCGCTCCCCCATCACGTTCACGCTTCTGCCTCGGCGTCCGTGCGCTTCCGTGCTCTCGCTATCCAGCGGCTGCGCGAAGAGTAGGTGGACTGGGGCTCCTCAGAGGACTTTCACTCCTCCTCCTCCTCCTCTTCCTCCTCCTCCTCCTCTTCCTCTTCCTCTTCCTCCTCCACCTCAACCGTGCCCCTCCCTCATTGCGCTCCTGGAGGCTCGGGAACTTCGTGATCACGGCCGCGGCCGTTACTCCTGGCCGTGCCTTCGGTGCTTGCCCGTCGGTCTGCCACGGGCCGATCTTGATCTTGAAGAGCAGCCTTGAAGCTCAGCACTAGTCGCGGCCGCCGACGGAAGTCGACCTCGGCTCAAGGAGCTCAGAGGGCCTGGACCATGTTTGTTCGGCGATGGAGGAAAAGGAGGAGGAGGACGACGACGACGACGAAAAGAATGGCGAGGAGGAGAAGGAGAACCAAGTTAAACATAAAACGCACCAGCGATGTTGCATTAAACCCTCTCTCCAAGTTCCCTCTGCACAGGGCCTGGCAAGAATGTACTTGATTACGGGAAATGCACTTGGAAAAACAAACATCTGAGAACCTCCCATTGTGAAAATAAACTCATTCCTGGGACTTCAGCGTCGCGAGTCAACGTGACTGTCGCGTCCTGACAACCCGAACCCGTGCCAGAAGATCATTCCTGGAACGTCAACACCGAGGATACATAAGACCTGTGCGTTTTAACAATCCGAAATCTTGCAGAACAAACACCAGTCCGAGCATTTCGGCCATGCGAATCCTCGAGCCTGTTGCAAGATTTCTAAAAGAATGAGCGCGGCGCGACGGCAAAGGCAAATGTTGAGAAAGAGCCGCCATTCCTCTGCGAAATGGCTGCCACCGTTTCAGGCGAGCGCGCGCGGCCTGGAGGCGACAGCCACAGCTCGAAGACGCCCCGACCTCCGCCCGTGAAACGGCTGCACATTCTTGAGACGAGTGCGCGCGGCGCTGCGGCGAGAGCCACACGTTCGAGAACGGCCTGCCCGCCCCCCCTCCGCGAGAAACTGCTGCGGCAGCTGCTCCACACACGGGTGCCGCGCGGCGCTGGGGCGAGAGCCACGCTCCGCCGACGGCCCGCCCTCCCTCCGTGAAGCCGCCGCAGACCTGAAGAGGCGTGAGGACCAGAAGCGGCGAGGAGGTCTCGGGCGACACGCCCGGCCGGCCCTGCCCGCACGTGTGGGGGGCGCGACGGGGAGGGGCTGCTGGACAGAAAGAGGGGTGGAGGAGGGGGAGGAGGGCCAGGAGAGGAGGCAGGATCGGTGGGCGGCGGCAGGAGCGGGGGCAGCAGCGGGAGCCGGAGCAGCGGCACGAGCAGCCAGCAGGAGCGCCTGCCGATCAGAGAGGCCGCCATCGGGTCGGGAGGATGGGGCCGGGAGGGATGGCCAGATCGTCCGCCGCGTGTGTCCCGTAGCCTCCCAAAGCCCTCTTCCCGCCCCGATATGTGCTTGCTTTGGGGGGGGGGGCTCGAGGCGCAGGGGCAGCTGATCGAGGTTACCGTGCCCCGAGGAGCCCTCTGGGCTCAGCCCCGGGCGCAGCACGGACGACACCCCGAGGAGCGCAAGCGGCAGGAGCGGGGGCACGAGCAGCAGGAGGGACGAGGACGAGCCGGATGGGGCGAGGGCGAGGGCGAGGACGAGGGCGAGGATACATCCGAGGACGAGGAAGAGGGCGAGGACGAGGACGAGGACGAGCAGCAAGAGGGACGAGGACGACAACAAATCCGGTCCAGGGCGCGCCTGAGCGCTCTGAGAAGGCCGCGACGCTCGGTGCACCCTCCAGAGCCGCCAGATGTCAGAAATTCTGGACTGGGGAAACCAAAAGGTACCGATACCGAACCGATACCTCTACTCCACAGACCTCTCCCAGGGTGCGTTCTGACCAGAATTTCGAGACGAATCCAGCGCTGGCGACGAGGGCCTCCCAGGAGGCCCAAAAAGGGGATGACGAGGGAAGGGTCGCGGTATCGGCACAGTCAACCCGCATAATAAGGATGGGCATCCTTCCCACGGGTACCCTTGCATCTTTGTCTCCTCGGTCCATCCTTGGCCACTTTCGTTGGCCGCGCCCCCGAAAAGCTTCGAGACTACCTTCCAGGGCCCTTGCACCATAGCCGCACATCCTGATGATGCATGTCGACTGTGACTTCCCAGAACCCCCGACGTCATGATTGTTTCACGACGTGGACCCCCAGCGGTCTGGACCTCTTTCCCCAGGACCGGTTTTTCATCCCGAGTCGTTGTTTGACGTTCCCGAGGGCATGTAAGGGCCCCCAAGGGCTAAAAATAGCGAAAAACCTCCCGTCATGATTTTTCATGACTCGAGGGGGTCTGGGCTTTCCTCCTCCGATGAGGTGTCCTCGCCCGAGTTTGTCCTCGTCATGGCTTCGTCCTGGCGAGGACGAGGGGCGAGGACGAGAACGAGGACGAGGACGACGACGACGACGACAACGACGACGACAACGACGACGACAACGACGACGACGACGACGACGACGACGACGACGACGACGACGACGACGACGACGACGCGACGACGACGACGACGCGACGACGACGACGACGACGACGCGACGACGACGACGACGACGGCGACGACGACGACGACGACGGCGACGACGACGACGACGGCGACGACGACGACGACGACGACGGCGACGACGACGGCGACGACGACGGCGACGACGAGAGGCAGGGCCTCGCAGCCCTTCCCCCCCCCTCCTCCCCCCTTCTCTCCTCCTCCCTCCCTCCTCCACTCCTCCTCCCTCCTTCCTCCCTCCTCCTTCCTCCTCCTCCTCCTCCTCCCTCCCCCTCCCCCTCCCACCGGGAGAAGGTGCGCGGCGCCGGGGGCGGCGCCGGAGCCCGCCGGCGCGGCGGCCGCCGCGCCCGAGCAGGGCTTCTACGAGGCGCGCGGCGGCGGCCCTGCGCGCGGGCCGCCTCCCGCCGGGGGCTGCTCGGCCCTGAGATCGGGGCGCTGCCATCCCAGACCCCCTCGAGTCATGAACAAATAAATAATGACGCGAGGTTTTTCCTACTGTTCGGCTTTTGGGGGCCCTCACCGGGCCTCGGGAGCGTCAAACAACGACTCGGGATGCAGAGCCGGTCATGGAAAAAGGGCCAGGACCTCTGGGGGTCGACGTAATGAAAAAAGCATTACGTCGGGGGTCTGGGATCGGGGCGCTGCCATGTTTGCACCACGGGCGCTCTCGCTCCGTCGTCGGGCCCCGGGACCTGCACGGATCGACGCGGCGCACCAAAAAAATGGCGCAGGAAGGTGGGGTCCAGGGCTCCGGTCGTGGTTTGTGTTGCGATGTTGCACGTTTTTTGCAGCGTGGTGCTGCCCCCCCGGCTGCTCGTCGTCGAATTCTTCGGCGTCTGGGCGTCCCTTCTTCCTCTCGGCCGTCCCCCCCTCTACTTTTAGGTCGGGCCTGTCCCCCTACAGGGGGATTTTGATCGAAGAAAACATAGATTCGAAAAATACCCCCCAAATGGACAAAAACAGTCAAATCGTGCCCTGAGGAGCTCGTAACTATTTTTGAAGACTCCCCCTGTAGAGGGACAGGCCCGACATAACTCGACTTGCTCGCCTGCCAATGCGCCAGTCTGTGACCCCACCTAGCTTCTCGCTTTTGGACGCCCGAAATGGGTACGGAAAGAATGGACACAATGCCCAACAACAAATGTTGTCCCAAACCAACAGCGGCCGCTGTTGGGCGGGCGGCCTTCTGTCTCAAATGGACACAGGCCGCGGCGTCGTGGACAGCGAGTCCTGTTCAAAATGAGCAAGAACTGCTGTTGGGCATCGTACCCATTCTTTCCATGCCCACTTCGGGCGTCCAAAGGCTTCTCGCTGGAGCGGAGTTCGCCGCCTCGCCGCGGACGAGCCAAAAGAGTTCTGCGCCGTCTCCCAGGCGGGCGGGCCGCCGCCCGCCTCCGCAGATCCCCTCGAGCCGCGAGAGGATCACGACGGGCGGGTTTTCCTGATTTTCGGCCTCGGGTTATGATGTTCCAACCTACTTTGGCTTTGATCAACAGGAAGAATTTCGAGCGCCAGAAAAGTACCCCAAAACTCTAGGGTTTTCGTGTGTCGGGCCCAGGGAGGCACTCGTCCGACACTGTTTCGACACTCTTTCGACACTTTTCCGGGTGCTCGAAATTATTTCTGGGATGTGGTCCGTAAGTACGATGGCAGCAACATAAGCCTCGGGGGGGCCCTCGCCGGGCCTCGGGACCATCCAAAAGCGACTCGGGAGGAGAAGCCCTTCCTGGCGAGGGGGTCGAGGACTCTGGGGGCCGACGTTTCGCGGAAACCATGACGTCGGGGGTCTGGGTCTCGTCGGGGGTTGCGAAAGGTGCCCCCAGCTTTTCGCTCAAGTTTGGCGCCCCTGGTGGGCCTCGTGAGGAGTGCTCTGGAGGCCATGGGGGCCTCCGTGGAAACTTCCAGGGGCACTTCTAGATTCTAGCAGCACCCGATCTCGGGTGCCCCGAGGCAGCACTGTGACCACACCGCGTGGTGAGTCAGCAGGGATTGTCTTGCACGGTCTTCTCGGCATCAGTACCGCAGCGTCGACGGCAGGCAAGGCACCTCTACATAACAGCGTTGTTGTTCGAACGCGCTGAGCAAACGAGGATACAGCCAAGGTGGCAGACTTCTCGCCGACCATTAACAAGGTTGGTAGAGCGTGTGTGTTGCCCACTCCCACTGATCGAAGAAGAAAAAACAGCATAAGCATAAAGTTGTGGCGCTCCGCGCGGAACGCCAACAGTTTATGTTGATGCCGTTATTTTGTTTAGTGTTGCCCATCCCCAGTGACCACACTGCGTGGTGAGTCACTGGCAAGATCACTCACGCGGCTGTGCTGTCATAGAGCGCTCCAACAGACAACACCTAACGGACCAAGCCCGCGACCGGCACAGATCGACATAAAAAGCGCGCTGCGTGGAGAATGCATGAGGCTCGAACAAGCAGCAGCGCCCCATAGCGGCGCGCGCTGTAAGCCAAAGGTGATATTCTAGGCCTCCTAGATGGGGTCGGTGTAGCGCGCTGCATCGCCGATGCATCGGCGATGCCTCGGCGATGCGGCTCGATGTGAGGCCCAATTTTCCCCACGCCGACGTCGCCGATGCATCGCCGACGTCGCCAGCGCATGGCCGATGCATCGGCGATGCGGTGAGATCCTCCGACCCCGTCTACTTGGACCCCATCAGGAGGCCTCTACACATGGTTCATTTCTCATTATTCGAGAGTTCTTCGGTTTTTGGCGGGGCCAAGATCCTCTCATTTCTAATCGTTTTGTCCTGGGCCTCTTCCTGGCCACTAGGGGGGCAGGAATAATTAGAAACGAGCACAGTTAGAAATGAGCACGATTAGACATGAACGACGTGCACTTGGACCCCATCCAGGAGGCCTCTAGATTTGACAGGGTCTGCCAAGAGTCCACCCTGGCCGCGACACCTCACACTCCTTACGCCACTGGGGATCGGGTGCTCTCGGTCCCTCTCGTCGGCTCCAAGGGGAGGAGGAGGAGGAGGAGGAGGAGGAGGAGGAGGAGGAGGAGGCGGGAGAAGGAGGAGGCGGGAGAAGGAGGAGGAGGGAGAAGGAGGGGGGAAAGGAGGAGGGAGGAGGGAGGAGGAGGAGGAGGAGAGAGGAGGAGGAGGAGGAGGAGGAGGAGGAGGAGGAGGTGATCGTTTTCTTAGCCATTGTTTTGCCGATCGGCGTGGGCCCCCGCACCCCCCCCCGCCCCCGTGGAGTAGATCTTGGCTGTTTTGGGCGCCTGTTTCGAGCAGGTGGAGTCCCTCCCCCATGGAGCGCACGGTTGCAAACGGTCGCACTAAGACCTTAGAGCCACACCCTCCCCCTCCCCCCCCCCTTTCCACCAAATGTCGCAACGCCGAACAAGAGAATGTTCACGTGGTGAGCCCACGGGTTTTGAGACTTGGGTCGTTCTCCAAGGATGTCTGCGGCGGCTGGGGCCTCCAGGGTCTCAAGACGGTGTGGTGGCGGACCGAGGTGAGGTCGTTGGGGAGTTCGAGGCCACCGCACGGCCTGTCAATGCACCGGTTGGGACCCACAAGCTTCGCCCCTCGGGTCTTGACATCCCGCCTGCGACGCCTTCGTCGCTTGCATGTTTCTCGATCCCCCCTCCCTCTCTCTCGCTCTCGCTCTCCCTCTCTCTCTCTCTGCAGCGCCCTGCAGCTGAGGCTGCCAAGAGCTATTGGCGCTGGCTCCCTCAAAGAATGGGAAGGAAGAGGAGGAGGAGGAGGAAGAGGAGGAGGAGGAGGAGGAGGAGGAGGAGGAGGAGGAGGAAGGGAGAGGAGGAGAAGGAGGAGAAGGAGGAGGAGGAGGAGGAGGAGGGGGAGGAGGAGGAGGAGGAGAAGGTGGAAGGAGGGAGGAGGGAGGAGGGAGGAGAGGAGGAGGAGGAGGGAAGATAACTACAGAAGCATCGATTTCCACTGGTCCGCTCGGATCTCTCGGGTCGGCGCCAGGCCCCTTCCCTTTGGGGGGGGGGGGGGAAGGGCTTCGGAGAAAGAGGGAGAGGGGCCCTTCTCAGAAGCACCCCCCTCCTTCTCCTTCTCTCCTCCTCCTTCCTCCTCCTCCTCCTCCTCCTCCTCCTCCTCCTCCTCCTCCTCCTCCTCCCGGCGCCAGGAAGAGGCGGGTCCCTGCGCTGGCCCCGGAAAGCCGCGCGCACCTCGGACAGCTTAGGTTTCCGCAGCTGCCCGCTCCTCTGTACCCAGATCCCCTCGCGCTGCGGCAAAAGCACCACGGGCGGTTCTTCGCTATTTTCGGCTTCCAGGGGGCCCTTCCCGGGCCTCGCGAGACCGTCAGGAAACGACTCGGGATGAGAAAACCAGACGCGCTGTGGAAAGGGTCGAGACCTCTTGGTGGGGACGTTATGAAAAATGCCCCGACGTCGGGGGCCTGGGCATGTCGCCGCGCCGGCGGTTCTGGCGCGCGGCCTCCCACCTCGGGGGAGGGCGCTTCGGCCACCAGAGCCAACGCCGCCCCGGACGCGGTGGGCTCGCCGTGGGGTTTGCCGCGGCGCTGGCTCCGTCTGCTTGGGGAGCTGGGCCTGCCGTGGGCTTGTCGCGGTGTCGGCGTCGTCCACTCGGGCGCGCTCAGAACATCCTGCGCGGCGACACATCTTCTCCCCTCGGGTGTGGAGGAGACCGGTCCTGCAGGACAGGGGCCGAGGAGGAGGAGGAGGAGGAGGAGGAGGAGGAGGAGGAGGAGGGGAAGGAGGAGGAGGAGGAGGGGGGGAGGGGGAGGAGGGGGAGGGGGAGGAGGAGGAGGTCTTCGGGCTCCCAGGCCTCTTGGGCTGTCCCATGAACGGCTCGGGACAAAACACCGGGCCCCAGGGAAGACCACGGGGACCAGAACCCGTGATTCTTAGAAGGCGCGGGCCCTGTCTATCGTGGCACGGCGCCTTCCCTCGTTCAGAGCAGCCTGCCCATCTCCCCCATACCCCCTTGTGCGCGCCGCCAGCCCCGGGAAGGCCGCGGGGACCAGGACCCAGGTGGCGACAATCTGTCTGATGCCTAGGCGAGGTGGGGATGGGGCCGGCAACGTCACGATTCGCGCCAGCGCCATCTGGGAATGCTCAGGAAAG